CTGCGGATTCTGTTCGACGGAGTCGTGATGAAAGGTGAGTTCGTTTACCGCAAAAAAAAAAGTTTTTGATAAGTTGATGGTGTACTTTTTCTCAGTGATTGAGCTGCGATTGGTCCTTCTTTTTTTTTGCGCATCAAATTCACAGTAGACTAGTAGAGTATCGATGCATACGGGATAATTGATCAAAAATTGATCAAACTGTTATTCGATCATCTAGATTCTAGATGATCGAATAATGGTTTGATTTAATATATTCAGTGAAATAATGCAAAACTGACATAATTTTTCATTACTGATATTGAGCCAGATTTTCAATTTCTTTTCACAAATTTGTTGAATGCATACCTTAACCAATGCAATACAATACAGGTATTGAGAAATCATCAAAAAATGATATGTGATCGCCTGGAATTAGGGTAATTGACGGAATCAAAACGAAGAAAACGTGTGAATTTTTTTTTTTTATTATCACGGCATTTCTCTTACCATGGTGATCATGTTAACGCTAACAGAATCATGTCCATTGGAAACGCGGTTTCTTCAATTTGACGAATTTGAAAATGTGGCTCTTCCGACCGTTCAAGATTTTAGTTGAATGAAAATGATTGTACAGTATTTTCAGTCATGGAGAATGATTACGTGTTTTCGTTACAGTATTTTGAAGAAGTTTAATTTTGATTTTTTTCCATTCAGACGCATGCGGGATCAAGAAACGAAGCAGATAATTGGCCGGCGTGTGAGCGATTCCAGGTCAATTTTCGAGCAGAATTCAGCCGCCGGTCAGTTGAACGCTCGTCAGTCCAACGGTCTATCGTCTCCCACAGCGGCTGCTCCGAAAGCACCGAGTCCTCAGCGGTTAGTTGACTCAAGAACCGGGGAAGAAAAAAAGAAAAAGAAAACCATTCCGCTCGAGAAAAATACCCAACTTCTCTCTTTCCAGCGTCAGTCCTCTTCCGGCAAATAATGTGATAAACAACCGTGAACCGGAGCGGTTTGTGGAGGATGTTCCTGTTCAGCGAATTATGACGAATATCGCTGTTGAGCGCGAGGAAATCATAGAAGTAAGAGTCCAGTAATTCTCTTTCGTAGCACTGTTTGCTCGACGTCAACAATGATTGATATTTTGGACAAGCTTATCGGCGGGGATTTCTGCCTTCTTTTGTTGAGTTATTCATTTCTGAAATAATCACGAGGATTAGTTTTGTAGATTTATGATGAAAAGTTGTCTCTCTTTTACTCCTAAAAAAGCTCCTCTGTGCTAAAAGGGAAATTTCACACCTCACCGAAAATAAGAGCTTCTTCGTGACGTGTGCAGAATGATGTTTAACCTTGTCTCGTATGATACATGATATAGGTATTTTCAAACGAAATGCAGTGTCGAAAAGTCGAGCGTTTCACTAAAATCTTCGGAGGAAAATGAATGCGATTGTTGTTGAAAATCGGTGTTGAATGTGGAGAAAGTTCACTGAGAATTTTTCTACATATTCTGAAGTATTGATAAATTGATCCTCATTTTTATACGATAGAATTCACTATTAAAAATCCCACCGGGAACTGGCTGTGTAATTTTATTTTATTTTAGGGTCATCTAAACATGTTCACAATGTCAAAGAAATGGTTTCTTTGTAATCGAAGTGCCATTGTGATTGGCATTGACAACCAATATAATAGGCATTCTCTTCAAATTTATCTTCTTCGCAGTGCAGCAACTTTCTGGGCAACTTTCGTGCATTTTTCTAGTCTCCTTCATACACTTTGCTAGCGGAAAGTTCATGAATTTTTCTGTGCCCCATTTCTGCGAAGAGAATGAATTACTT